TATAATCAATTTTAATATACAATCAATACAAAATTCTTGACATTACTGTATACTTACTCAGCCTTCCTTAATAAAAATGAAGAATAATTTGTTTCGCAAGCCTAGATGTGGTCAAGAATTTTAGCTGATTATGGTTCAGATCTTGTGATCCCTGTGTGCTAGTTCAGAATAACTGTTCTGAGGCTTTATAATTGGCTTTCAGGCAGCAGGCAATTTTCATCCCCTACGGCCCTACCCCACCCTCATCCCGGCTTTCAGGCAGCAGACAATTTTCATCCCCCTACCCCACCTTCGTCCCTTCCTTTTGTTCTGACTTTCCTTTTTCAGCACCTGAGCCAGCTATGTAAAGGCAAATTGCGTTCATTCAAGACTTTATAAACTGAACAGTAAATGATAATAGAATAGATATTTATTATTTTTTAAATATTTATATTTGAATTTATTTAATATTTATAATATTCAAATTCATTTAAATTTAATATTATTATATAAATCTAAACCTATTTAAATAAGTACTATCTTTTTAAATATCTAAATCTATTAAAATATTTATTTTTTTAAAATTTTTATCAACATATAAAATAAATAAGAATTTAAATTAAATTTTAAAGTTATTTTTAATTAATAATAAATAAAAATTATTTTTTAAAGTTCAAAACTTTTTATATATATATAAAATTTTATATATTTTATATATGTAAACCGATAACGTATTCAAATATTGATATTCATTATTATTCGTTAAATTTAAACGAATTTGAATATTAAATATCTAATAAATACTATTTATATCTGCTTTTAATCTATCACGGATAATAAATATTTTATCCGAATCCGTTAATTATCTTTTTATAATTATTTGAATCCAATAAAAATGAATTAAATAATAACGAATATTCATTTACGTATCATTCTTAGAGTGAACAAGATATTACCAGATCCTGGATATGTTGCAAAGTTTCTACATAAGTTAAGAGAAATAAAGTAATCAACTCGGTTAAACCTCGTTTTCTTTCAATTTTATTTATAATATAGTGAAGATAATAGGGAAATACTCCTGGCAAATGATTGTGGGAAGGCTGACAGAGGTACAGTGAGATCATACGGAAAATCAGAAATGGCTTGAAACTGTGTGATGAAAAAAATAATGATTATCAATAGAGAAGAATGGCGGAGGATGGTATTTGTTGTCAATGCCCAATTGTTAACTCGAGGCTTTTTGAGTAACTTTATTCTTCATCACATGGAAGTTCTGCCAGATAACTTGAAAATGACTATTGATAATAAATATAGGCTTGGCTCAATATCATATTGCGATAGAGCATATCATTTATAAAATATTATTTATAATAATTATGATAAAATTAATCAATCATAATTTAAAATTAAGTAAAAATCATATCCATGAAGTAAAATTGTATAGGGAACATGTGTATAGTTATTGGTTTCCAAATTAGTGTAGGAAATAAATGACAAAAGTTTCAAAATTGAGCCCCCAACTTTGTCCTTCACTGTTTAGCTGTGGCAGATCTTTTTGGGGAGTGCATATCTTTCTCGCTGATCAGTACAATAATTCACTTCAACAAATCACAATGTTAGCAATAGAATTAGTTAGTTCACTTCAGGTTCCGGCTGCTGGTTGTACAGGATTCGAATTATCAACTTTCTGAATAAATCTGAGTCACATTCAATTTCGGTTTTAACTCAATTGCTGGTTGTAGATCCAAGCCGGTGCCATGCAATTTCCTGCAACCAGATAATAGCCGGCTAAATGTCAATATTATTGCTTTCTAAAAGATACAAGGTCTTAGACATCGTCTTCATCACCTGGCAAAGACAGATGAACTAGATATGCAGGAAAGCCAAGAGAAAAAAGTACAAATCAAGTACTACTTGAAAAACCTATTCTGCAGCAGGTCATTTTACTTGATAGTAGATACTTTGTCTATACTTTGGATCTAAGTTTCTGATCATTGTACCCATGAGATCAAGGTACAATCTACCATTGCTTAACATGCAAGAAGTAGATACTATTACATCATAACAAATTTAACTTTGGGCCTTTTAATTCTGAAAGCAAAAAGTTCGAGGGAAAAAATTTTGGTTATAGCTTTACATTTTACTTCCTAAAAGTGGGAAGCAAAGTTAGTGCCACAGACCATCTAATCATGGTAGGATCCACCATGTTATAAGAGCACTTCCCTAACCATTTCCATCATAGAAATAGCATCCCCTTTGGTTTTTTTGCAAAAGCCAAAAGGTTTCAACTGGCTACTACTAAAAGAAGATCTATCAAGCTGCCAACAACCCTTTGGCTCAGCGGCATGAGGTTTTGGCATTTGGGAGGGTTGCCTGAGTTCATGGCTATAACTATAATTTCTTTTACACCACTTGGAAAGTTATCAACAGCCATTATAGAAGAATGCATTAAATAAATCGATTAAGCAATTCGCAGCAAAATTCATATTTAAAGCAAACATTGCAGTTTATAAAAATATAAAAGCACCCAAACACACACACAAAACAAGAGCAGTATGCAATTCTTGACAACTTTGGATGAAAGCGTCTCTTTTAGCTTCTTCATTTCCATTACAGAGAAAGACCAAGTAACGACAGGCATAGCTAATATCTGAAGTCCATTGCAGACTGAATGTGCCAATAAGATGGTTTTATTCTATAGTTGACTGGTACTAAGCACTAAAAATAGCCCAAATGTGAAGTTGCTTTCAGAATCAAGCATACTAAAAACAAGCTAATTAGATATATGCTCCGAAGTTGAGGAAAACTGCAACTACATATAGAAGGCTGCTTAAAATTGGGTTCCTACGGGGCCATTGATGTTATGTAATCTTCCAAAATATTATGAACAAATAAATTGAACTTATCAATGAAAGAAACACATACACTGATCTCCTTTTTTGTAAGTGGGGCAAACACAGTATCATCCTTTACACCAGCAATTTTATAGAGCCGCACCCTCTGCTGCCCAAATATTACTTCAATGTCTTCATCTTTGTTTAGGAGCCTGAAACATCGAAGCCAGTTTCTTCTAAGACCTGTATTTTCATAGAAAGTACATAATCATAGATAAGAAAAGAAAAGAGAGGGAAGAGGGGGATAAAGAACTGAAAGTGTAATCAGTAATCATTTGGATTCCATTATCAGAAACTGAGCACGTCATTTTAGGAACCATAAACTCTATTATTTCTGCAAATTAGAAGGGAAACATGCAGTGAATAAATTACAAATAATAATCTATGTATACAATGGCTCCATGCCACTGATGATGTTTAATGACCGGTTTAATAGAGACATTGGCAACCCTACTCTAGCTTTTGCTTTTGAGTGGTGAATGAACAGACATGGAAAGCTAGTTAATAAACCCATGTAGATTGTACATTTCTTCCTCGTTCATGTCACTTACAACAAGAAAGCAAGATCATTCTGAAGTAATCTATGACTCTGTAGCCATCTGAAGAGCACAACACTGCATAGATTCATCTTGTATGCAAAAGGTTAAACTACCTTTAAAGGAAATTCATCTCCAATCGGATTCCTTAAGAATCAGTTTCCAGTCCTTCACACAAAATTGGTCAACAATAATAAAGCCTAATTACCACTAAATCATCAGACATGCTCATTTAAGTATAGACAAAAATTGAGGAAGAGCCCTAAAATACAGATAAGTTGAATGTGCACAAAAACTTCTCTAATGGCACATGCATGGTCTTCCTCATCTTTGTTCTTTTCCCACGTGGGAAGTTCCAGTTCATCCCTTTCCATCCCTTCACTAGGATGCACTATTAATTAAATCAACAAACAGAAAGTAAAGACACTCGTAGACTGGAAGCTTAGTGAATTCACTTCAACATATATGATAATCCTGGAAAATGTTATACAATTTGAATTTGACATCCTGAACTGCAAGGAACAGCATTCATTGAAGTTCCATCAATTGGAAAACGACATGAATGAAAAGACCCAAGAAGTAAAGATAAACTAACACAATCTCTGACAAAGATATCAAGAGATTGGAGTTATGGAGATAGAGAGTGAAGTGGGATTAAAAAAGTAAATAGGTGCAAATTTTACGGTCTTAAACGTTAATACATGGATGCAAAAAGGGCATTGGAAACAACAGAGGGACAAAAAGTGATGATATTCACTAAAAAATTAGAAGGACAAAAGACTCTTCTTGTTTTTAACTAGCACAAGAGACTAGCCCGTTCATACGTTTTATCCAAAATAATTGCCCGTTACAGAACTCGAACCTTGTAATCAGTGAAATCCTTAAATATATCATCTATATTTGCAACATTAGGCCTTAAAACATTGCATCTGTTAAATACTGGCAGAAGTTTCAAATATGCCAAGCCACATGCCAATGCGCAAGTTTCAAATATCAACCAAGACTGAAGAAAAACGTGGGATTTGCTCAACATTGCATCAAATATAGGATACACAGAGGTGAACTCCTTCAGATTGAATGACTTCAGAAATGGAATTTTTTCCAGTGTTGTCCTTATTGAATCAATGTGCAAACCGGTTTTGGACCTTAATGAACCCCGTTTGTTGAATAACGGGTTGAAGAGTTAAATTCATTTCTTGGACTGGTCCATGTCAAGTGCCAACATTTTTAACCCAAAAAATATGCTTATTAGGTGGATAAAGGCCCTAACTTATAAGTCCAAGACTTATCTCATCTTTTTCCTATACGAGATCCTCCCTCACTCAATTAGGATTGGCAATCTAACGGATTTCAATTTCATCTAATTTTATAGGATCGAATTTTTTTTAATCAAATTTGATCAGATCAGATCAAATATTTTTAAAGAAAAATAGTGGTTGAATTCTATGCAAACCCATTTCTATTCAACCCGGTATATATATATATATATATATATATATATATATATATATATTTATATTTAAAAAATTAATATTCTACAAGTTTAAATATATACAAGTCTGAGTAAAAATTTATTGTGACTGAACCCATTGCTATCCATGTACTCGATCATGTAATGTCCAAGTTTTATTAACTTTTGAGATTTATTTTGATTCAGACCTAACTCAGTCCTGATATCTCCTAAGATCTACAAAAAAAAATTGGATAATCCATGTGAAAATATATAATCAAGTCAGAGGTTCAACCCGGAGCTGGGAGTTTGCCATGGCATTGCCTTGAACCCAGATTTGAACAATCCCTCCAATGTTTCCACTGCATTAAGGTGCCAAAGGTATCCAATATCGTATCCAACTAATGCTTTATCTGATACTTGGCAAAGCACTTTTTAGCAGCGGAACTAAAAGGGAAAGAAATTTACCAATGCTGATAAATACTACAATTAAGATTTTAATGAACAGAATCCAAATCCTAACAATCTTAATTACAAAAAATAATAATAATAAAGGTCATACATCTCACTTTAAAAAAAAATTCATATAATTTCAAAACCAAATCTGAACCTCCAAAATAATTCAAGATGTTTATTTTTGAATGGCTGGTAATATAGTTTTAGCATACTCCAGGATCTGTATGATATCAGTTTCTCCAAACTTTTTAACTTGAGTCAAGAACTTCAAATCCACCTGGTTAGAAGTAGCATCAACTGTTCACAGGATAAGAGTTCAACAATTAAAAACCATCTTTAGAAAAAAATACCAAGGTAAACAAAATGAAAAACCTCACTTCACACAATAGTTCATTCAAGCAAATGTAGTCACATAAACCCAAACATAACAGAAGAACATATTTGTAAACTACCTGTTATTGTAATGCTCCCATCAACTGGATGTAAAGATGACATATTTTCACTAGACATTGACGCAGACCTGTTAAAAAAAAAGGAAAATGATATTAATTTTTTTATATAATATGATCAGTGTATCATCATATTTTACCTATGCCTAACTTTCTTTCCAGACGATTTTAAAGAAGCACGTCAATTACCTTTACCTAGTTACATGTATATATATTAATAACTCAGACTTCACCGAGTGGTTGTTATTGAGATCCAAGGTTTGAATTTCCGCTCTTCCTATACATCCCAATATGTACCAAGAGTTATATGTATTAACATTTGTTCACAATGGCAATATGATTTTGTATGTTTTTTCAGAAAGAAAACGAGTGTTTGGCTGGAAATTGACTTCCCAAGGCCAAAAAGTACAACTCAGACAAAGCTTTAAGAATTCAGATGTGTTGCTGATAAACATTTTAAACCAACAGCACAAGTCTCGAGCAAGAAATCAAGCTCTTGAAACGTCCAATCCCAAGATTTGGTTGGGACTGCATACTAGGTAGAGACTTTGCTTGGACCCATTACCATTGAATGACAGATCATTAACATAAAAAAAATGGAAAAATCATGCTCACCTATATTGAACAGCCAGTCCCATGCGAGCAATACCTCTAGACACAGCCTGTAAAGTCAATAATCAAACAAATTTATGTGACAATTGCATTCATGATGTTACAGTAAGCATTTTTTTTTTTGGCCAATAAAAAATGGTAAATCAGTGGGGTGTCATTATAGCACCGTTTAGGACCAGCACCGGAGGTCAGCCGTGGGTGTCCTGATTTAACCCAACCCATAGGAAGGGACCTGCCGTTCGGCCCTTCGGACCACATAGCATCTAAGGCACTGACATAACATCCTTAGCTACAGGGCCCAGAGAGCAATTATTTCCAAGCTTCTATTCTACTTGACAAAAGTAAATACCTTTCTAAAAGTATCCAAGATTCTTCCTTCCTTAGAGTTATAAACAAATTCACAGAAAAGTACCAAATATCATAATTGCCTTTCTATCCTAGGAGAAACATGCCTTTGAAATTACACATAATTACTCATGCATGCGAGGGTAGATTATACCTTTAGCTGTAACATTTGTGCAGAATCAGCACCCGCAGTTGCATTGATTGAAACGCTTAACATTCCAGATTTTGTCTTGTTCAACGACCATGAAGCAATGCCAGTAGCTATTGCCTCTGTACCTGCCGCACTGCTGTTTAAAGGTGCTCCTGCCTTAACGATAGCAACAGCTTCTACTCGAGTTCCACTGTATCAACATGATTAAGGGAATGAATGAAAAATCAGACTCGAAATTACCCAACCAAAACAAAATCGATTTCTCACACCCACCTGCGGTTTTCAACACTCAGAGTAAAACCGCGGCAATAGTTTACGGCGTTGCAACCCCTTTTCCGGGACATTAACTGGTGGAGGGTGCGTTGACGTCGACGGAGGAGCATTATTATTCCCCCTAATGATGCCATACTCTAATGTTGGTGGTTTGTCAGCCGCTTTCACTGATGGGCATAGTAGCAGAAAAGTCAAAGCAAAAGCCGTGGCTCCCATGAGTTCAAAACTGCCAACTTTCTTCATGCTTTTGGGAAAAACAGCTAGTCCAGTCTGCAAAAAAAAAAAGAGGGAAGAATTTTAAAGAAAAAAAAATGGAATTCTGGTTGGGGATAGGATATCAGATAGAGAGGTATGGAAAAGGAAGAGTTATTGGAGGTAGGAAAAGAAAAGCAGAAGCAGAAAAGGGGATCAGTGTGGTAAGATAGAGGGCGATGTTCCTGTGGATTTGAAGGAAGATGAGTTCGTACATGTGGGAACCGAAAGTTTGGTGGAAATTTTTGAGACAGGTGACGATGGTGCTAGCCCAAAAGAGCCACCCATCAGCCATGGTTGCCCTTTCATGAAACTGTCAAGAAAAGCAGAAGCAGAAAAGGGGACTAGTGCGGTAAAACAGATGACGATGTTCCTGTCGATTTGACGGAAAATGAGTTCGGAAATGATTAGGGAATCGAAAGTTTGGGGGAAATTTTTGAGATAGATGATGATGGCTGGCCCAAAAGAGCCACCCATCCGCCATGATCGCCCCTTCATGGAACTGTCAAGAAAAGCAGAAGCAGAAAGGGGACGGTAAAATAGAGGGCGCAGAGAGGCAGTTGTTTGATATTCCTGTCGATTTGAAGGAAGATGAGTTCTGAGTTTGAGCCTTTGCTACAGCAATAAGAAAGGAAATTTAAAAAATCAAAGAAATTCGAATAAAAAATCCTTCATCATCTTTGTCATCTTGCCAAGCTCTAAAATAAAAGAGAATCATCCAATAAAAATAAAAACTAAGACAAAAATGTCATTGCCAAATCCAAAATTTTGATTAAAAAAAAATCTACATCACTATTATTTAAAAATTTGACAATTTCATTACAAATTTGGTACACAGTTGCAAGCAAAAGGAGAGAAAAAAACAACATTAAAGTCACATGTTTTAACAAAACTCATGTTACAAACAGAGTTATCAAGATCGACTCAATAAAAAAAAATACTAAATAAAAAAAGGTTATATTACCATTTTTTTTTCTATTCTTCTTCTCCGATTAACAAGACAATGAGATTGGATCTCTCAAGTTCTTCCTTCTTCTTCGATTAACGAGGCAATGGAATTAGGTCTCTAAAGTGCTAATGTGTGACAAGAGAAAGAGACCCTTTCCAATGTTCAGAAGATCTTTTTCACTAGATAATATTTATAAATTAATCAGATTTTGATCAAAACGTTGATTAATTTGATTTAATCTGCTTTCTATTATTTTTCAAGTTGCATTTTGAAACGTAGACGTCATTTTTTACCAAAATTAGCCGACTCTCATGTTAAACATAGACGCCTTTTTTTACCCAAATTAGCCTACTCTCATGTATCTCCTTCTATGTTTTATTGAATTCTAAGATAATATGTTGTTTGCTTGACACTCAAGCCAAACGTAAAACCGAAGATACGGTCACGTTCACACTAGCGGTCGGTGATTTGTACACACCATTAGCATGTGATTTGTATTCATTTGATCTATTTAAATATATTTAAATATATAAATAAATATTATTTAATTTTCATGTTTAATGTACACATAAAATACATATAATAATTAAGTTACAATAATAATTAGGTTAAACTAATTTAAGTAAATTTTCTTTTTTTTAAGTTTATAATCTATCTTTAAATTTTTATTATATACCTTATTAAAAAAAAATTACATATTTAAATTTTTTCAAACTTACAATATTAAAATATTAATTTTAATGATATACAAACTAATCTAAGAGATGGTCAATAATTTCGAGTTAATTTATTAAAGGTAAAATAATCATGGAAAAATGTAAATATGAATTAATAAGAACAATTATTAAATATAAAATATAATAGTATAATAGTAATAATTACATACTCTCTCTTTTCCTTTTCCATGACTAATTTTCATTTAATATAGAGATAACAAAAATATGTTAAATGAAATTTTCAAAAAAATCTCATTTGTCCAAAAAGAATAAAAAAATATTATAATTCTTGCTAATTCTGATTCACTTAGAATAAGAATATCAATTAAGTTCATGATCAACACAGAGTAAAAATATATAAATACGACATTTAATTTGGTTTGTAGAAATAATAAAAAAGATGATGTCCAATTTTAACCTACCGTATATTAAAAATGGGATTTGATCATTATAGATTTATACATTTATCTTTCTTTTTTTTTTCTGTTCCAAGGGATGTAGTTCTTACAAAGAGGAAAAGGAAGAATATCCAAATTCGAAATCAAAATCTTTATATTTTTATAAAACTTCTTTAATCACTAAATTAAAAGGTCAAAATTTTTGTATATTTATCTTTAAAAGTATTGGTTTGACGCAAAGATACAAATAAAAAACAAATCAAAAAATATATAGAAAATTATAGTTATTTAAGATTTTTCATTAAAAAAAAGATATTGTTAATAAATCATAATTGATAAGATAAAATAAATTTATTTAATTTTAAATCAATAAATATGTGTGATTTGTTAATAAATCATTAGTGATAAGATAAAAAGTTATACCTCTATCATAACATGTTTATATAAGAAAAAAAAATGTTATACCTCTGTCATAACATGTTCATATAAAAAAAAAAAAAGTTATACCTAAGAATAATTAAAGATAAAAAAATTACTTCGATAAATTTTCGTAAAAAAACATATTTTACCTCATTACTTGAATCATAACTATAGTTGTTTTTTTTTTCAACCTAAAACACATCCATAAAAAGAAAGACATTACCAAGAAAATTATTAATTGTTAATTTTATTTTTATTTTTAATTTAATTCTATGTATTGCAATTTACGAATAATTAAAATCATATTATTATTTGTCTATTTATCATATCTAAAATTATTATTTACACACATTTAAGGTAATGTTTGATATGAAATAATCACTCCAATATCATTATAATTTACATATGATAATTATATCATGTGTTTGATAAGTACTTAATGATTATACGTGACATTGACCTTGGATGATTAAAAGTAATTAGGTCACTTCTTTGGAGAGTGATTTAATTCTTATATAAAAGAGTGAAAAACTTTTATTATTGAGTTGAAGTAATATGTAAAATTAATAATAATCAATATTACTCATGTAATATGTGAATCAAAACTTGTTTTCTCATAAAATTATAGTTATTTTACGTTATAAATTTTTATATTTTTAAACAAATATTCATGATAACATGTTCAAAAATAATTTGTGTATTTTTTATTTTTTTAATGTTTTATATAATATAGTTTTTGTTTTTTCTTTTAGTATGATTTTAATAGAATATTTTTTTCTAATACAAATTTTTTTTTACATAATTTAAATTATAAATTTAATTTACCTAATAAATAAATATAACTATTAATTTAATAATTTTATTATATATTTATTATATAAAATAAATAAAATATTACTATATTTTATAAATTATTATCATTAAACAACATTAAATTTATTAACTTATGAATTATTACAATATGCATGATTATTTTAGTATTTTTAAATAAAATAATATTTAATTTTTAATAATATCAAATATAATAATCTTTAATTTTTATAAATTAATGATTGTTAATCAAATAAAATAATTTCAAATCATGAGTAATAAAATCATTTTGATAATAAAATTACCTTGATGGCTACATTATTATAGTAATCTTAAAAATAATATAAAACATTATCTAAAAATTATAGACCTATCATAAATATTAAGTCAAACTCATATTATTTTTAAATATATAATTAACTTTTTTAACTTTCTCAGCAATATTTCAAAATTTGCAACCAAGCATAAAATATATATATATATATTTCAGTTTACTACATTTATTTTTTTATATTTTGTGATTATTTTAAATTTTTTATTTGATAAAATTTCAAATAAATTATATTAATTACTCAAATTTTATATTTTATATTTATATTTGATTCATACATCAAAATATATTGAAAAGATCCGCATATTCACCTTTCTTCTAGGCTAAGCTTAAAAAAAAAAAAAAAGTAAAAACGTTGAAAAATTTTGTGAAAATGATTTCTGTATGGCTGATAAGACCGCGTTCTTCTCAAATGCACGTTATGGCTTATTAATGGCCAAGATTTGCGTATAGTCTTACCTTTATTAATTTGGCCACCAAAGAATGATTTTTGACTTCTTTCCCGGTCAGCGCCGTTCTTCCTAGGATATCCAGCCCCCCACAGCCCCCCACACCGCCCCGGGCCCGCGAATATCACTTTTGGAGCCAGCTGTCCAGGGATGGATACGGTTAATTCAAAAGCCAGCTGTTCAAGCACTATTTATTTTTTTTTTGATAAAATAATTAGGTTTATAGTTTAATTCATGATTTATATATATTATTATAAATGAATTAAGATTGAAGAATTTTATTTTTTAGTTATAAAATTAATTTATTTAATTAAAAGTTCACCAAGAGATATGAAATTCAACTTCATGATTAAGCTTCTAAAACGCCCCTGCCACGGCATATATTAATTCTTTACAAACATCAAAAAGACAATTAAAAAACTCATCAAAGATGCAAGTACGTTGGATGTCTGGAATTAGAAGTATATAATTTAAACTGATGGGAATTAGCTTCAAATATTTGCAGTAGTGACTGTATTTATTGTGTGTGTAATGTTAATGCTACAAATCAGTTGTCTGTAGGGCAGGTGACACTTCTTCAAAACTCTCGCAAAAATTTTTTTTTTTTTTAAATTTGATAACATTAAAATTTAAATTTTAATCATTAAAATTAAAAATTCAACATTTTATTAATAGTGTCTTTATTGGCTAAGCTCCAGCAGCTTGTTGACCAGCTTTTACTCAACTGCTCACAAGTGCATTTGAGCTATTTGATCCGTTTTTGTTTTCAACCTGGGATGATATGGGCCAGCTGGGCTTAAACCGGGGAACACAGACTATATTCATGAGCATGTGTATCGGTAGGGGTTCCAAATAAGTGCCACAAATGATTAACAAAAGTTTCAAAATCGACACTTTTAGCCTTCACCGATTAGATTCGGCAGATTTTTTGGGACATGCGTATCTTTCTCACTGGTTAGTACGACAATTAACTAGTACACATTACAGCAATAGAATGAGTTGGTTCACTTGAGGTTCCAGTTGCTGGTTGTATAGGATTCAGATTATCAACTTCTGAAAAAATCTGATAGTGTTTTTGGATGTCTTTGATCTAAGAAAAGGGGTAAGGTGAAAGGAGAAGACAACTGTGACCTCAGAAAACATAATTAACGGGTTCGGTGTTGTTAATTCAGTACGTGCTCTGACGTTTAAGTTAATATTATGCTTGAGATAAGGTTAAGATAAAAAAGAAGATCATGATGGTAAAGTGTGTGAGACGAGTTTTAATGAAAAAAAAGTTCAAAAGATGAGAGATCTAATCTTTATTATTTTGAGTATCTAATTCTTTATTTATCTCTTATTTAATATCAAAGGTAATAGTTTGATTGAAATAATTGACGGTTGACATTTGATAAGATATCTATATAAAATTCGATAAGAATTTACATAAATGTATGAAAATTACATTTATTGATCTTAAATAGGCATGAGCTATATTAATAATCTTAAATATGTTAAGTGCTAATGGGTCAATTTTAATGTAATTATCTTGATAAGTTATTGATGTGATTTTGATCGATTCATCTTTTTAGAGTAGGTAAGTGATTATTTACATGTATGTTGATTAAGTTTTGACCATTAATTAATTAATTTAAGCATAACAAATAATATTTTATTTCAAGTTTAATTTAAATTAGATCGATTTTAGCTATAAAAAACTAATTTAATATTAATCAAGCTAAATTTAAAATTTAACTTAATTGATTTAAATAATTATCATTAGAAGATCATTTTTTTAAAAAAATAATATCTCATAAATTTATGGAATTAAAATCTCTAACATATGTAATCTTTTTATAAAAAATTAAAAAAAAAAAAAAAGTCATGCCATGTTTCAGAATGTCATTATGCAAGTCAGCTTTGCCACCCGCCTTCCAGAATCTTTCTAACCCGCAAGTGTTATGGAGTGCAAAGGTATGATAATTTACTTGAAAATTTGTATATTATACGAAAGTATCATATACCATATGTGTCAACTTATTAAGAATTGCATCTTTACTTAATATGAAATTTTTATTCATTTAATTTAATAATTATTTTATTATTATATTTTTTAAATAATTTATTAGTATATTTTATTACACATAATTATTAAATATTCAAGTAAGATATAATAAATATATTTTTAAAGCAAACTATAAAAGGTTGATTCTGTTGTTAATCCTTTTAAAACTATCATCTAAAATCTATTCAAATCTATCACATATAATAAATTTATTATAATTTTACGTTATAAATATTCAAATATAACATAAACAAATTAAATAATAATGCATATCGCTTACTTCACATCCTATGTTCTACCCTTTATTGACTTCACCACCAAAGGGCGCTTATCCACTTGTTCAACGTTCAACGTTGATGGTTACTTCCAGAATTGATTTCGCTACCAAAGAGTGTTTTTTTTCCCGGGCCTGGTCCAATATCATCTTTTGAAGGAACATATCACTTTATAATAATCGTGATAAAATTAATTAATTATGATTTAAAATTATATTAAAATCATCAAATATGAAATTCACATTTACAAGAATTCTTATATAATTTTTATTATAATTAGAATTATAATATTATAATAAAAAATTGTTATAACATAATTTATTGACAGAGATATGTGACACAAAGATTCTAATTATAACCTATTTTGATTTTTTTATTTAATTTTTTATACAATCAACTTCAGAATATGAGATATAAAGCTTAATGTGTTATTGATATAATAAAAAAATTGTACATAAAACTCAGGTAATCGCAAGTTTTTCAGAGTGTAAGGCACGATAATAGATGTTGCTGTTAAGATTGGAAACGTGTGCAGACTCATCTCTATTATTTGGAACCTCGAAAATTGTGTATTCTTGCACAAGTCCTTGACTGATTTTCTAGTCACTTTCCGAAAAGAAATGTAAAAAGACTTACTCAAACCTCAAAACTACCATTATTACATTAGCAGGTCAGCTCATTGCAAAACAGGAGGCATCCACTGCAACACAAACTCTTAAGAGCTGAAAGAGGTAGCCACTCAGTTTACTAGGGTTGGACAAATTTGTCTAATGCAGAAGTGTCCAAAGCTTGAAATTCCTTCACAGCAGCTGCCACTTCGAGTCCAAGTTTCACAGCATCTTCATGGCTTGGTGTCTGCAATGTGTTTATTATCATCCAGCTTAGAAATTACAGTGTTTATAACATCTTATGCTAAAGTTGATACTGCTTTCATACCTCGATGTTAAGAGGAAGGACAGGATCATGAAGTGAAAGCCTAAGAAGGAACCACCCTCCATAGCCAGAAACTCGAACCTGTTTTCAGAAGGAAGTTAGTGAAACCCGTTTGGTAAAATGGTGGAATTTATAACTGTCTATTTTTTGTGGCCACATTTGTCATTCAGTTTAAGTGATTATTTCAACAAAGAAGCCTAGACAACTCGATGTCTGAAGCCTATATCAAACTTACCCCTTCATAGTTAACAGGTGCTTTCTGAAGCTTGGGATCTGAAGCAATATGGTTATCCAAATGCTTCAGCACCACTTCCCCATAATCCCGGAAAGATCTGCAAGTTTCGAACTCTCAGCAACTTTAACAGAAATCAGGCAGACAGAAAGATTGGAGCCATATAAAACACCATACCCTCCTTTAAGATCAGGATGACTCTGATTAATCTTTAGTCGCAGTTCCACGGCAAAAGCTGGTTCCTCCAGACTGTCAACTAGGTCTGTTAAGACTTTGCTTCCATCACCTCTGCCCGAAGCCCTTGCTGAAGCCAGTTTATTTAGGAGTTTGACCTGCACTCAGCAGGTCAAATAAAATGGCATAGATGGATAAGTCCATGTGCATTTAAGTTCATACATTGGTTGAAATATACAGTCCAAATAATATGCGAGAAGAGGCTTGTCCACCTAGATTAAAAGCTTACCATCAAGTATGCCCCATCATCGAGCCAGTGATTCTCCTTGAGAGCTCCATGGCCACTGGTTTCTATAGCCAGATGTGATTCTTTTCCAACAGAATTCTGCGGGAAGTTCTTTTACTTTAGTTTCAAAATTTTTCAACACATAACAAAGAACTGAAAGTTAAACAAGATGATCAGCTGTGGTATAATAGGTGACAAGGATCTCCAATACCAAACAATGACAGCAGGATATGTCACATTATGTTCAGGCATTCTGTTGCTATGTAGAAATTATAACATACTTAAGTGAACATAGCAAGTGATGAAAATTGGGATCAAGAATTTTGTCAATGACTAATGGTAGAAAAAGATCAACAAATATTGTATGAAGCATGCAGATGAAATTTTGTTCACCCCTGTATAAAGCAATATCAATCTTTTAAGTTTTAAGTTCCTTTAAATGCCAATGGATCATATAACTAATGCTCAGAATAGTGTTTGGGCAAAAACAAATGGTTCATATTAAGTTGTTAATATCCCATTAAGTCATTCAGATCCAAGCTCTTTTTTATTCATCTTCTAGCACCCCACGTAACTGATAGAAATATAATAAAATCAAGATAAAAGAAAATGAAATTTACCAAACGAATTGCCTCATCAATGACATTCTTATAGCCTCTTTTGAATCTATGGTGCTTTCCCCCTAAAAAAAATTGCAAGTTATAAGTTTGCTCCAGAAGAAACAAAGCAAATACATAAATGTCAGTTAAGTTTTTATCATACCAAGTTTCTTTTCAATGAATGAAGTAAGCCCATCTGAAGTCACACTATCTGTAACAATGGTTGTTCCTGGATGCTGAAGAGAAGAACATGAGGAGATTAAATGAGAGGAAAACTGAATGATAAAAAAAAAAGGTTGAAACTTTCAATTATCTATAAAGGGGCATTGAAAAAGTGGATTCAGGAAAAATCTTACTTCCTCGAGAACAATGGCAGACATTAAAGCAATTAGACGATTTCGATTTAACTCACGACCAGTGGAATCCACAGCAGCAGACCTTCAACAAAATGCTTATAAGAGAGGAAAAATAAAAAATATTTGAATAGTATAATATGAACATATAGGTAGAGAACCTATTACCTATCAACATCTGTATCAAAGATGATCCCTAAGTCAGCCTTGTTGTCAAGAACTGCCTGGGTAATAGCTTTCATTGCAGCTTTATCCTCAGGGTTTGGAATATGGTTTGGAAACATTCCTGATCCCATAATCACATATCATTAAAATTGTTAATATGTAAAACCAAAATTAAAACATAAAGGAAAGTTTTCAGGATAAAACAGTACCATCTGGCTCCAAGAACTGACTACCAGCAGTAATAGCACCAAGATGCTCAAGTACCTTTGCCTGGAAAAGCAATTGGAATTAACTTATGACCAAACAGGGAAACAAATTGCAGTTGCAATAATATCAATTAAATAATGAAGGATATGCAGTCAGATTTACTCAGGCAAGGTGTCTTAGTGGAACCTAATGCTTTATATAAAACAGGGCTTGGCAGTTTGCACCTTTCGCCTTTGACTTATCTTTAGCAATAAAATCTTATTAAAAACATTGGAATGTTTCAATTGTAGAGGTAACATAAATTAAGAAATCAAACTTACTGCAAAAAATCCTCCTGCACCATTTCCTGCATCAACAATAATGTGGAATCCGTCCAATGGCTTCTCTAAAAGTTGATAACACCAAAAAACAATTAGTAAGCACACCAAAGCACTTTCAGCAGCAGAAAAGGGAAAGAACTTGAGAAGTGATAAATATAATTAAGCGAACTTTGTGAAAGATGATAAATACCAAAGAATGACATGCATTTCTGCTTATATTGCACTTCTAATGATGAAGAAATGTAGACTGATTTATAAATAATTTCCCCCTTAATTAAACATTTCAGGAAGCTATTACCTATATTCCCAGCCGCTTTACGGACCGCCTTCACAAGATCAGATGTATAAACAGACATATAGTCGACCTTTTTAAGCGATGCTGAAGCCTTTTTTACCGAATACCCTTCAGCTAGGAAAATACTGTATATATTTGCAGCACGCTCCAAGATGTCTTTTATGTCAGTTTTCCCAAGACCACCAGCATTAGTGAAGAACTTGAACCCATTCCTGTTATAAGGGAGGTGACTAGCTGTTCACAAGATAAAAGTTTATCAGGCAAAAGTGATCTTAGAAAAGTAGTCTAATTTAAACAAAAGGAAATCCTGATTCCACAAAATAGTTCATCCAAGGAAATGATTATGACTAGTCAGCACCCGAATTTCAAGCATGTGAACTCTTTATATATTCAAGAATGCTATCAACAGAAGTTCATAGCCATAAACTACCTGTTATCATTATAGCCCCATCAACCGGACATAAAAATGCATCGTCTTTAGTAAGCGTACTATTAAACATTGCTGGTGTAGATGCTAAACTACAAAAAAGGAAAAAGATATCAATTAGTTATGTATATATCTATCAAAAAGGAAAACATTTGTTCTCAATAGTAATATGCACTACCACCAGTACTAATCCAGCGAACAGAAAAACAATAATACAAGGAAAAGTTACATCAATCAACAAAAGGGAAACAAGTATTTTGGATGATGATGAGGGCTAAATAAACTACAGCGAGACTGGTACTCAACTATCATAGTGAAATAGCAGAGAAACTACTCTTGCTACTACTATCTGAAGTATTTCATATCTGAGCCACCTAATTCATAGCCACAGTTTGACTAGTATGACCTTGACCTAGGTTGCAAAGTCAACCAAATGTAAGATAGATAATTATGTACATAAAAACCAAAAGCAGCTCAGACAACTAGTATAAAAGTTCACAGGAATGACTTTTTCCAGTCTTAAAAGTTACAATTCAGACAAGCTTAAACAATTCAGATTGGTTACTCTTAACCACTTTAAAACACGACATAAAACCTGCCTGTCACCAACAAGAAATCAAGAGTTTCAAATATCCAATCCAAGGATTTGGTTGAGACCTGTAATTGCACAGTTACTAGACCTGTTTAGACCCATTACAATCACATGTATCATAAGTGCTTATGTCATCGAATTACTCGATTAACATAAAAATCGGATGTCATCACTCACCCATATTGAACAACATCAAGTCCAGCACTAGCAATGCCTCGAGAAACAGCATCCTGGAAAGCCAATTGTCCAATTCTCAGTAATCAAAGAAATTTATTCACAGCAGTTTTCTGGGAAAAAGTTGCTCTAGCATTAATGCTTTACAAAATCAAACTACAGTCTTGCCATAGAAGAAAAACAAAAGAACTAGCATTCAGAAAAGCATGTACCATCCCTAACAAAACAACAATTCTTCTTTTTTAAAAATACACAAAATTTGGAAAGATCTACCAATATCACATGAGAAAGCTGTGCGAAAGACTGCAACTGTAGGTTGTATCATATCTAAATAAGTATGTGTTTACTTCATATGCTACCGATGATGATAAACGTAACAATAAGAAGATCCAATGGCCTTAAAAGATACCTTAACAAACAGGTAAATTATCAGATCTACTAATTGCAGATGGATAAGATTCATATGGACACTTATTTTATGTTAGACTCAAAGGTCATGTTTGGTGCATAGGATGCTAGATAGGATAATATGACAATCATTCTATATTATGTTTGGTTTGTATCTAATTGAAAGGGATAGGATTTCAAGGAGGATTATTATCCTCTTGGTATAGGATAATTCAATCCTCCCAACGTGGAGAGGATTATTTTTAATCCATAGGATTAGACTTAAATGTACTATTATACCCATAAAAATTACATCAATAATTTAAATTATATAAACTTTGAAGAGGGATAATTTTGACCAACAAATAAATTACCCTATCTTAATCCTTACACATATCATACATAAGATAGGATGAAATTATTTACTCTAATTCTATTGATAATATCAGCTTATCCTGTCCTATCATAATCTTGTATACCAAACATGACCAGACGTACCCACGTAAGGTAGATACCTGTAACAATTGTGCAGATATACGAGAATCATGACCAATTGAAACTCTCAACTGTCTTGATGTGTCAGCCTTTTTCTTATCCAACAACCATGCAGCAAAAGCAGCAGCTATTGCCTCTGTAACCGGCTCAGTGAGGCTTACTGGTTCTCCTTCAACACCAGCAACAGCCACACCTCGAATATCACTGCATGGTCATCAGGGGAATGAATGAAAAAGCATTCTTTGATCACCATAGCTAAAAATGACAAAATCAAACAAAAATAATGTTAAGGCTTTTTGCTTCACCAAGCAAAATTACTATAGATCTGTCAATCCAAGTGGCAGCACTGTGTAAAAAGTGACTACAGAAGCAAAGTAGTGGAGATTATACAAATGGCTGTATTACAGTCGAGCTATATTACATTAACTGCATCATTTTGGCATTTAGAATTATGTTCATGGCATATAATTTTTTGTAATTAGGCTGTATGTCACTCTTTAGCGTAGCGTAGACCCTTTAGTTAAACAACTTTTATGCTTCCAAGATAGCAACAAGCTGTGAACTGAATATTTAGGTTTGATGGTAATGATAGAATTTTCTTTTAAGTTTCAATGAAATAATATTTCTACATAGAAATGCTTGCAGCAAAAGAATCTAAGTAATAAATGAACCGTAATAAGCAGCTGTATTCAATAATAATAATAATAATAATAATAATAATAATACAGTACTCTAGAAATAGATAAGTGATGGAAAATACTTTTCTCCCCTCTCGTTTTATCCTTATTCACAAGTCTTCTGCAACAGTCTTAACATAGTGAACCCATGTTTGAGGAATTCTAAAAATATAGTAGTTCAATCTGTAAGGCAAACCTCAAATGCTAATTAAGGTTTTCTTCTTCCAAATCAGTACCAGCGGTTAAAGCTTGCACATCAAAGTCAGTCAGTCCCATTGGCAACTTGCGGCTATTTGGAGTTATCATACATCCTACTACAACTTTAAAACCCCACCACTGTTAATAACAGTGTATACAACAATTCAATCTTTAAGATTCAAACCACAGAAAACTGACTTAAAATCATTCCAAAAGATTTTCCAATAGACTTTTACTGCAGTTGAGAGCATAGTAACACATGAAAACTAGTGGTTGAGGAACTTTCATGCTGAGAGAAAATAAGAAAATTATAAATTTAAATGCATGACACAATGGGATGGACTCCTCACCTGCCATTTTGAAGCTTCAGAAAATCAACTTTGTCCAGAGATGGAACTGTAGTAGCAGACGAAGCTGCTGCAGCAAAAATTCCAAAATGAAATATGAGACTTAAGAAGAAAGAGATGATTTTAAATTTCAATGGACTGTATGTAATATAAATTCAAAGTTGTAATGACATCCAACAAATGAAATCCGCCCTGACAACCAAAAAAAGCATACAGGAAATGTAAAAAAGAAACACAAAGCAGCAGATGATAGCAAGGAAAAGAATATTAGTGCTTTGGGTTCATTTAATATGCAATTGGTGCATTTGCAATCAACCTGGATAATGAGAGACTAGAACAGACCGTTGCAGTTAACTGTTAGTAGGTTAACAAAACCACTCTGGTATTTTGATAAGTCGCGCACTTGCATGGAGGAGATGCCAGTCCGTGCTAACTTCCCTCCATTTAAATGAGGCAAAGTGCGCATATAAGGGGCACAACTGTCCCTTTGATATTGGGTCCCGAACTGCCTATTCTGTTGGTAGAACTGTGCTATAAAAACATTTTGAACAATCTTCCCTGACATTGCTGCATAAAATTTGCAATTTTATCAGATTTCACATGGGTAAACTCTTAATTAATAGTTCAGATTCATCTAAATAATTACTAATTCTTTTAACTCCTATTAAAAACCGTAATTTTTATTGACCATGTTCCTTCAATGGGTTTTAGCATTTACCTAACCTCATCATCAACTATTATTATTCTAAACAATCAAAATTGTCATTTCTGTCATCCTTTCATTTTCCTATCCTTTGTTTTTTAAGTGTTCATTAAAAAGTTCATTTTTCACATTCCATCCCAATGAATGAGGGAACAAAAACCAACAACAAGAAATGTGCTGGTCTCTAAGCAAGTACTCTAACAATGAGCAAAACCTTCATCCAAAGACAGCATCTTTAAGAAAACCAAGAACCATACACCACCCATCATTATTAAACTTCCGTAAACTTTGAATCAATCATAAGCAGGAGTTCAATCCAAATTCATAATACTTATCAACAACAAATCCAAATTAAAAAAAAAAAAAGCTCAATATTTTAATCCAAACCCATTTCTGAAACAAAGTAAACATCAATTCAAACACTAAACAAATGTAAGATATAATTCATAAACTCAAAAGGGTTGATCATTATTTACTCAACAAACAAGATGGCATCATATTCCCATAAAAAATTAGTCATAGGAAATGTGATTAAAAAAAAAAAAGAACCCTTTTTTTTTTCTTTGTGTTAAAATAAGGGGGAAAACGAATCCTTTTTACCTGCCATTTGAAGAGGCGGGAGGTTTTGTCTGGGAGAGAAGAAACAAATTGGGCTGAGAGAAAGAGAAGAAAAAGAAACAAAAATAAAAAGATGTGGAAGAAGGAGTTAGGTGTGTGAAAAAATCCACATGCCCAGCAGTCGCCTGCTGGATTTTGCTAATAATATTTCTACAGACAATTTAGCAACCATGGATATTTTTGCCATTGCAAAATATTTTTTTTAATATAACTGATGAAAAATCGGCTTTATCGATACAATATATTTTTTTTTTAACAAAAGTGATTTTGAGATTGAATTTAATTGATAATTTTTTATTGAGATGGTTTGGTATATATAATTTATAATTATTATTGAGTGTGACATATTTTATTTTTATACGAAAATCGAATGATCTATTTATTCATAAATTTTTTGTTTAAAAGTATAATTTTTTAATATATTTTAATTTTTATAGTATAAAATAATAAAAAAATTTGTTTTTCATTTTTTGATTTAACGACAATAAAAATTTAAAAAAGATATTAAAATTTGATTCGAATCAATTCTTTTTTTGTAATAGAGTATTACCCTTTTCTGAACCAAAAATAAATAAATAAAGAAAATCTGAGAATAATTAGAATTGATTCTTGGAAATGTTATGGCTTGATTTAAAAGCATATTATGAATTTATCAAAATATATTTTTTAAATTTTACTCCTATAAAAAATATCTATAAATATCTTTTATTCCACGGAATATTCAAATTTCCTAATTAATTCTAGCATTTTAAAAAATTTTCCCTTTTTTATTCTGTCTTTTGTAAATTATTTCAAAATTACTCTCCCATTTTTCATTCTTTTAGATAATTAAAACTATTTGATGATAAAATGTATGAAATTGAAAATAGTAAATAACATTAAAAGTAGACAAAAATGGATAACAATAACATAAAGGACAGAACAAAGGACAAAAGAGTAAAATCAAACATAAAAAGCATAAACGGCACCGTTTCGAAGCATAAAAGCTCTATTAGTCAACGGTGAGAGTCGGCCTTAAAAACTTCCACATAAATCCGCACCCACCGCTTCAATTATCGCATACTTCGAGGGTTAGCGAATTTAGGAATTAGGGTTTTCTCTTGAAAGAAATCGAAGATGATCGAGGTGGTGTTGAACGATCGGCTGGGGAAGAAGGTGCGCGTGAAGTGCAACGACGACGACACGATCGGAGACCTGAAGAAGCTGGTGGCGGCTCAAACGGGTACCCGAGCCGACAAGATCCGGATCCAGAAGTGGTATACGGTTTATAAGGATCATATTACCCTCAAAGATTACGAGATCCACGACGGCATGGGCCTCGAACTTTACTATAATTAAAATTTTATAATTATTAGTACTATTTATCTATGTAATTTTGTATGGTTTTTGTATGAACAAGGTTTAAATTTTATGTGTGGATGATGGTGTTTACTTTTTTAAGCAATCTTAATGGAATAATATAGTTATGGATTTGGGTTTCTTTTATTTCACATTTTAGTGTTAAATTCATTTATTTTTTTAAGAAATTATTTGATATTAATAGGATCAATTTAGGAGGAGGCATCCTTCTATTAGAGCTTAAGATTTGATTTTGAAAGTTTTGATAATTTAGAGTTTTAAGATTCGTTCTTGAAAGTTTTGAATTCGAAATTGAATTGGAAAATGAAATTTTGCAGTAAGAGAGGAAGATTTTATCTTGAACATTTGAATTTAAATATGAAATTTATGAAATGAGAGAAGATTTGATATTAAAAGTTTGAATTCGATGATGAAATTTATGGAATAAGAGAAAATTACCATGCATTATGTAGACAAATGTAATATGTGCCCAAAAAATATATTTCCAAAGTTGATTCAGTGGAATTAATCCAAGATTATGGGCCTGCTTGTGGCTTTATTATTAGGCTTATTAAGTGATAATCTTTAATCAGTGACCCAAGTCGAAGTCGTATATAAAACTAAACCCCAAAGAGCCAGACAGCCAGTTTGGGCTTCATAAATTTAATCAATGGGTTGTATCCAACAATTTGGCACTTGAAAAAGAGACGTGAATATTGAAATTCACAAATATTATTATTTAGTTTGTTGATGTAGTTGTCACAAACTTAATGAGGAGTTTTAAATTTTATATCAGTTGTATACTAAAATTAATTATAGAATATAAGGGTTCACATATTTTTTTTCTCGTGAAATACTTTTTGTAGGATAAAATCATGAGACTAGAGAAATTAGGACGAATAATATCTCATAAAGATGTAAACTGTGATAGGTAAATTGATCTAGGATGTCGAAATAGTGCATGTCCGAGTCATGGAGCCTCGTAGGTCTAGAAATTGAGTCTCAGCCCGTGATAAATGGTATCAAAATTAGCTCTGGAGGTACTAGCGATATGCCACCGAGGATGGTGGGTCTTCGTTAGAGTAAAGGAGGATGTCACGGATTTAAGAAAGAGTCTCGAATCTCTTATCGGTTGTGTATTAAAATTAGCTGTAAAATATAATGGTTCACACATTCTCCTCATTGTGAGGGCCTTTTATAAGACAAAATTATGAGATCAAGAGAACTAGAACGAATAATACCTCATAAAAATATGAATCGTGACAGATAAATTGATTTAAGAAGTCGAAAAAATACATATCTGAATCTTGAAGTCACGCACACCTGAAAGTTGAATTTTGACTCACGACATAACAATTTTTTAACTTTAAATTTTAAAATTTATCATTATGATCCATTCTTTTATTTTTCAGATTATATCCATTTTTATATTAAAAAAAATTTCATCAATAATTACTTAAAAATTTTAATTAGGGTTCCTAAGTTTAATGTCCTCTTATCTAAACCTAATAAATTAAAACATGATATAAATATAATATACAAAAGTATCGTGGTTTAAACTTTTAATAACAGCTATATATAGATTTAATAAAATTTAAAAAATACATTTTATATTTTTATATTGATACAATTATATTACATAATTTTTTATAAAATATAATATAAATATATAAATTTTAATATTTTACGTGGCATAAACGTATAAATCTTCAAGTTTACTCTTATCCATTTTATCAGTTGGTTGCTACTCACAACGAGAAAGATGCAAAGGAGGGCCTCAATGAAAAAAAAAAAAAAAAACAAGTGCAGTAGGAAGGTCTTAAAGTTGTAATTTTGCATAACCCGAAAGCATTTTACTTTTGGCCCAAACAAAACCACAACTCATAAACCTAAACCAATTTAAGACATTTTTAACTGGATCAAATCTTGATGGTCTGATGGTGTTTTCCCACGCCATTTTGTTTATTTGCAAGTTGGAGAATTTTCAAATCCCATGTCGGAAGTAGCATAATTTTTCCAGGGAGTTGACTCCTACACCATATATAACAATGGAAATTCTTGGATCTTGGCCTCTGAAACCAAACAATAAACACCAATGTCTCTAATTTCATGCTAAAAAAATCAACAATGAGTTATCAAATTCAACACTTTGTCTAACCTATAATAATTACCATTTATAATCTGTTGACATTTTTTTTTGTTCTAGAAAAAGCTAACTTTATCTCATTTCTGGAAAATAAAAGTAAAAATTGATTAAAATCATGATCGTTTATGAAAAAACTTGCTCCAAATTTGAAATATCTATTGCAAAAAGAAGGAAAAAAAAGTAAGTCACATTATGTAAAACTTAAAGCCAAACATCATGAATTTTATTTTTTTCCAAATACATCATATTATAAAATACTTCAAACCCAAAAGTTTGTTCTAAAAAATGACTATTCTATTTAGTTTGTTCTAAAATGGATGACCAAGGTAATACAATTTGCTTTTCTTGGTTCTAAGGGCTATGATATGAAGCTTGATACTCATAATTAATATATTTCTGATGTGTAATTAGGAGGAAAAATATCTTTTTTCTTTTTTTCAGTTTAGCCAAAGAAGTAAAATTTAGTACTTAGAATATCCATTATAAAAAAAAGGACGTACCCTTCGTTTTTCCCTAAAATCTAACTTCGTAGCAATTGAGACTATAAACAATAACAATAAACCAAGGTTTATATTTCATAATTTTAGTATCAGTTATATAGAAAAAAAATTAATCTTGTTAGATCGTAATTTTAAATTTTTTTATATCATTTATTTTTATTAAAAATAAAATTTTCATCTACTTCCCTAATCCTCATATTATTTTTTTTTATTACTTATATCTATCTCTAGAAGTTTTTATCTCTTTCAAATCCAAGAGCTCGTTTCTCTTCATTTATGCATAAATAAATCCATGCTTCACACCTTCAAACCATTTTAAATGACCTTTTCTCCTTTTTTTTCCTCAATTCAAACTATTTCTATTTTTTTTTCAATTCTCTTTATTTTTTATTTTATTTTTTTTAATCTTATCACATATCTATATAAATGTCCTCATCTAAGCTAGCTCAACTTTTTATTATATTGTTTCTTAACAACTCAACACTCAAGCTTATATAACAATACATGTCTTACAATTATTTTATATAATTTCGCCTTTAACTTTAAAGGCATATTGCAATCATCACAGTATACCTTACTCACTTTGGTACCTCAATTATCTTGCTTAAATTCTATGATTTATTTTTTTTATTTTAATATTATTTTGAATAATTAATCTTAATATTAAAAATGATTATCAAATAATAAATTTTGGTTATTGAAATTAAAAGTCCCATCATTCACAAAATCAATCAACTTTCACTTATTTTTTTTCATTAATACATATTTATTTTTTATAAAATCATCATTACAATTAAATAATCTTTAATATATAGAGAAAAATAAAAAAAAATTAATTAATTAAACAAATAAATCAACATAAAATTAGATTAAATCTATGTCTAATAAGATTTGAATATGATACTTAAGATTTCAAAATCTTTTATCATGCACTCGTGACAGTTTCATTATCATATGAACAGATATATATATATATATCTTATATCTTATGCTTAAAGAAAGTAAATTCAAAATTCTCCCTTTTAAAATAAAAAGAATTTCAACTAATTTTCTTTATTAGATATGTGAGTAGAATATGAAATGATTAAGAAGAGTAATAAGTCAATGAAAGGGAAAAGAGAAAAACACACAATAATATGAAGAGAGATATTGGATTTCGGCCTAATTTTTTCTGATGTCAAGAGTATCACTTGACAATAAGAAGGGGGCCGGCATTCCTTGACTCACGAATCTTTGTCTGCCTTGTGCATTTTCCTAGTGAAGCCCGTTCGATGCTTTGACCGGCAACCATCTTTAAAACCCTTAACCCCAGCTGGTTAAGCAATTTTTTTTGGGTTCAAATCCCAATGGTTTTGTTCATGTTGTTGTACACCACAAGAGTCAAACTTTTGTGGTTGAAATTTTTAAACCATTTTTTTACTTTAAAATTATCCCAAGTCTACGTGCTTGGTTGTGCTTACATTTGCATGGATCTCACCTAATTGTTTAATAATTTCATTAAAACTACATATAAAAAAATGATACAACATAACAACATTATCTTAATTTTGTGAATAAAATGAAGGGATAAAATTATAGCTGTGTAGATAAGTATTGGCACAAGTGGTAAAAAAGTTTTTTTGTTTTTTTTGTTGCCTTGAGTTTGAATATAATAACAGATTATAACAAAGATAATTTTTGATGAATTCATTAAATTAAATATAAATAAATTTATTTTCAATCGGTTCAAAATAAAAATGTATTAAATGAAATTTAAGAATCTTTCATCATTCAAAAAAAGTTATAACAAGTTAAAAATAAAGTCTATTTTGCAACTTGAATTATCGCTTGATAAGTATCATAGGAAATACTTGTCTATTTGGATTGATTCAAATGGATTTTGTTTTATGAGTCGAAAATCTAAAGCTTTTTTAAATCCCATTTCACTAAGTTTGGATTCAATGAAGATTGTCATTTTTGGAATTTGTCCCATTCTTTCAATATAATCATTAGATGAATTCAAACCCTAAACCTAGTTAAAAAAGAAACTATATGCTTGTAAGAAGAAATTATGGTTGCTAATATATACCAGAATTGACATAAACAAATGGTAAAAATTACCAACTTAGCATTAATTTCATCAAGTGTGCATGATCATAATCAGGAGGGATTAACTCAATTAATAAGTTTGTTTTTTATACATAATCGATTTTGAGTTGAACTTTATAGATGATAGTTTTTATTGTTGTTAAATTTAAAAAACTGAATAATGAATTTAACCTCAAATTTTATGTAAAAATAAAAAAAGAAAAAATCAAGTGCATGTGAGAGAGTGTGTGTGCATGGCTCATGGGAGTTGACTTAGTTTAAAATGCTTTATTTAACAATCCCAAGGAGATGTATGTGCAAAATATAATCTTTGCACATCCAATGCCTTGAGACCCGGCTTGGCTCATCCACCTCCTGTTGTGTTGTGTCATAATCTCAACAGAAATTCCGCAGAATCTTCATGCTTTGTTTTCACAACACTATCAATTTTCAAACCTCCCACATCAATCTGTTGCTTTGGTCAACATAGGATCCAAGTTTTACCCTCTAAAATATTGAAATGTCTTAACGTCAAAACCCTTTGTTTGCTTCGATCCAAGACAACCCCCACTTCCTGTTCTCCGCCAACTTGGTTCTTTCACACATTTGAGGATGGCAACTTAAAATATAAAAGGATATAGGATTTGTAAAGATCTTAACTTTTATCCCTACTATTTGTTTGTTTTGATACGGAAAAATTGTTCAACTAACAACTTGTTCAGTAATAGAACCCAATGCAGAAAGGAACATTTCACCTACAATGTTTTATTATAATATTATAATTATCCAATCACAATTAAAAAAATTATATAGGATTCATCATTTTTAAGTGTGAGTTTCATATAAAATTTTGATAAATTCTATGTAATTTTGAATTTTTTTATTCAATACATAATTTTGAATTTTGATAGATTAACTGTAGTGTAATGGCTAATTAGGATTGACACAAGTGGTTAAGATTTAGAATTTATATGAAAAGTATGCAAATTCGAGCTTTCATAATTTCATATTAAGAGACGATCTGTAAGTTCGAAAAATTTAAAAAAAAAAAATCTGTAAATCCCATTATAGATTAACAGTTTGTCTTAACTTTGGAAATAAGATAATTTTGCATCCCACCATACCGAGACCTATTACTAATCGGACCCTGATTTTAGATATAATCATCATTGTTAATAAGGGATAAGACTTTTATAACAAATGAAAATAATTGGAACAATAATTATCAACTCAAATTGGATCAGTGTTTTTACTTTATTTTTTTATATAAAAAAAAATCACATGAATCAAATTCTAAATTTTATATTTTTGTTTGATTTATATATCGACTCTTGCCAAGATCCATATAAATATTTTGTCAATGTAAAAAATTGTTGCTACCTAACAAATTTCACCCCCTTTTAGTTCTGGAGTATCCAAGTTATAAACAGTCTAATTTGTGCTTCTCGAGCTCCATGGTTCCCACTAAATGTGAAACAGATGACCACTTTCTATGCAAGGTTCTTGGATTGGTTTTTATCCCAATCTGGGAAGTTTCAGACAGAAATGATAACACCATGCAGAGTGGTTGGGTTATCTAGAATTGTGCAAGTTGTTCCATAATAAGACATGGACAAGAAGGTCCCTGAAAAATGTGATTATTATTTAAACAATTAGTATATTCGTTTTTATTTATTTTATATTCAACGTACGTAAAATGTTAAAATTGTTGTTATAAATTGTATTGATAAATACGAAATATATTTTTTTGTTTTTATTAAAGTTAAATTTAATTTTTACCAAAATCATAACTCTTATCTTTTCTTTTTTTTTTTGTATCATATCATATTATCACATTTAAAATTATCATATCTATTAATTATTTGTCTTAATCTGAAAAAAAAAAAAAAGTGATTCAAAGAAAGGGCAATAGAAACTGTATCGCCCGTCTAGTAACAAATATAAATCCATTCACTCTATAGGTCTAGGTCCTCTAGGGTTCAATTGAATTAAGTTGTTAAAAACATTGACTTTTGTGCTTGTTAGGGGGTTATTTCAAAATCTAAGACAACCTAACAACAGGTGGTTATGGATGCTGTGTCTGATTCTGGCAATGTTCAAAGTAGAACACCTTATCAGACTATGACCATCAAATGTTCAGACTGACAAAGGATAACTTCATCATATTACGAGTTTTTATGACTTTTTTTTTTTTTTTTACTATAGTCCAAGTACATTGAAACTACCAATCAGGAGTTCTAAATTCTTCATACAACATGTCTCTGCTGAATCAAATGTCAGAAACTCCATCCTTAATGCACAGGAAGAAGCTGGCATGAATTCTTCTGAGAAACAAAGAAATTGATGTATAATTTATCAGGTTAATCATAAAACTGATAAATAACTTGAGGTCATTTCCATTTCTCAAGCAGATATGCAACAAAGCCTTAACTGGTAACATTTATTCAGCATTTTGCAGCTAAGAACTCGAATTAGGAAATATGATGAAGGAAATGGATCCTTTCTGTCCAAAGAAAAGTTCAAGCTAAGGAACAAAATGTGGTTTACAGTATGCCAAAAATGAGTGAAGTGGAGCTTTCCCACAATTGCCTGAGAAGAAATGAAATGAAAATAAAAACCAAAGTATTGGAAACTGTACAATTAGTGAAGTTTCTTTGATCTCTATCTTCCTATGTTGTCACTTCCTGAATCCATAAGAATTGTTAGCCTCCTTGCTGTCTTCAGAAACTCACTGCAAAACAGAAAACATTTTAAGAAAACATATGAAAAGCAAATGTTTAGTAAGCAAAAGGAAGTGAAGCTAAGGAACCACCAGTACCTGAAGGGCTCATCCCCTGTGTGTTTAACAGAACCGGCAGCATCACGGTAGAGCACACTGCTAAGCATCTTTGAACTTTCTATGCCAAACATGTTGGCCAGCTTCCCATACAGCTCCTTGTATGATCCAAGAACTGAAAGATCAAGGGTTCTGCCCACATTCTCTGATTCCGTGAACACTTTGCAATGACCAATCTCCAAGCCTAGATCAGTTTTTTTATGCTCTTTGAACCAAGGAGACCCTTCATCGGAAGGGTTTTCCCGAGCGCTTTGATGTAATGCAGATCCAGAGCCATCAGAAGAAATTGCGGTCTTCTCTGTATTCCCGTCTGATGAACTATTTCCAACTGTATCACCTGAGCAGCTCTGAGAACCCTGCTGCTCACTGAAAATGGGTTGACCAAACAATAAGATATGCGGTGTCTTTATTTCATTGCTTTCTTTCAAACTAAGGGTAGGATTTCCCGTTGTTAGCAAGGAAGATATACTCCTATTATTCCCATTGTCACTAAAAAGGTTGTCACTGGAGAGTCTAGCAGGTGGGGCAGTATGATCAAGTTGATGAAAACCAAGTGGAAACAGACCCGAGTGCAGCTTGTTGGAGGGGAGATCTGATGAAGATAATCCGAATGGTGCATGCCTGGCTCCCTGTATACCTCCAGGAATGTTGTCTGTAATGCAACATACGGGACTGCTGGACCTGAAAGAGTTGCCGGAAAATGATGGCATTGGAATTTGGCCAAGTGAAGAAAAGTCAGAGTCTTGTGGAAGCCGCATCTTTTTCCTTGGTGGTGAGAAAGGATTAAGATGAATCGCTGGCATGTTTGTGACCAATTCAACCAACCATGGGCTAATGCGCTTCACATTGTGGAGTAAATCTGGCTCATCCCATGCTACCTGAAAGATGTTAATTCGAGAAAAAGATATTAGAAGCAAACCTATGAGCAAAATAAAATGCTGAGAAAATATGGATGTTTCTAACTTTTGAGGACTAAATTGAATTCTGAAGGACCATGAAGTGCATAGCAATGCTAAATCAATGACAATCTATGGAGTAAAACTATGAAGATGACTTCTGAGAATATTCAAAATACCTGCAGAAGACGCCATAGAGAATTAGGCCAACGGATAGGATCAACAACCTGAGCAGTTGATATTGTTCCCATGAACCAGCTAATCCGTGAAGAGTCCTCAGTTTCAAAAGCCATTTTGAACCTCATCCCAGGATACCACTGGATTTGCATTGCAGCTCGAACAGATGAGGCCTTCACACAGAACTCAGGAGTGCTTGCTCGTGGATAGTAAACAACCTCAAAAGGCTGCCTATTGGCTGCCCGAGTTGCAGCTTCAATCACAGACTCAGCCGTTACCCTTCTCCTCAGATTCCCATCAGAATCCTTCCTCATCAATTTACTCTCCTCCTCCCTCAAGAAGGGAGTATAACCCCCAAAATGTGAACCACAGCTTCCACCCCCAGAATTCCACCCTGATGGATACTCATATCCACTCCCAATTCCTCTCTTCGCCCTCAGAATTCCCACACAAAGATCTCCATTCTCCGCTCGCAGAAACACAATTGAATCACCAGCCACAAGCTTCTTGTGATTCACAAAATTACTCCACCCTGTGGTCAAAAGATGCCTACGAGGTGTTCCCCTATATATATGCCTAAATCTCCAAACCTCACCATGGACATCCTTTGCAAGAATTGTCTGAACAGGAGGTTCTGCTTTATAATCCAACCTAGGAAATATAGTCTCTGCACAATAGCGAGGAACCGAGAAACCCCCACCATTATTAGCATCAGATTGAGTCAGTGTCTTAGCAAAGGAAGCAGGTTTCTCAGGACTCTCCATCCCAATATTTCCATCATAACCATCATCTTCATGCCCAAAATCATTCTCTCTCAAAGGAACCAACATAATTTTAGCATAAACCTCATCAGTTTCAGGATCTGCCATGAACTTAATGGCAGAAATTTGACATAGGATGAGTGAAGGAATCAGAAGACTCCCAAAATTTACATTTCCATTGGCATGTTCAGCATGACCTTGAGCAAAGTAGAACACCTTGGAGTTCACTGATGGCATTTGCACCATGCCACCAGCACAGGCATGCCATAGTTGAGGATCTAAGCATTTTTCTGAATTCTTAATGAGTTCCTTCCTAGAATCCATGATTGTTATCATTTTCCAATTCCGGTGGTCTAAAGCATCAAAAAATTACCCTTCCCTTGCTCTGTTTTCTCACTTCTTGATTGTTCTGCTAGTAAATGAAAATTAAAAGGCATATCTTAGTAAATGCGACGGATAAATTACATACTATTGAACAAAATCCGAAAAAAAAGTTACTAAACAAAGAAAAACAAAAATTTTCATAGCTATATTACACCGTCTTTTCCACAGAAAAAAAAAACCATTCAAAGAAATCACTTAAAAGAAAGAAAAAAAAAGAGTAATTAGAAAAAAAGTTTTAAAAAACCTTACCTTTAAACAAAAGGAGATATTTTTTTACCAAAAGAAAGACAACCCAGATTAAAATGAACCCAGATAAGCACAACAATGGGGGAAACCAAACTCTTTAAGGCCAAAATAGAAAATGAGAGGTATATCAATTCAAAGACTTTGGGAAGGAAGAGAAAAGAAAAGAAAAGACAACGCAGTTTCAAAAACAAAGAAAAAAAAAGTCTTGGAATTAAAGGGAAAGTGAAGAGAAAGTGATGAGAGTTTTAAAGAAGAAAAAAGAAGCAAGAGAGACTTTAACAGTGAAGATTTTGGGTAACTTGCCGACCGGAGGACTGTCGTAGAGACCAAAAAACAAACCCATTTAAGGAATATATTTATATATAAAAATAAATAAGAAAAAGCATAGAGTTCTTTTTTGTGGACATGAACGGCAAAGTTTCCATGACTAAAGACAAATTCAGGTGATTTTGCTTTTTTTTTTCTTTTCTTCGATATAATTTTATCTTTTACATTTTGCTTTTTATATTTTAAATATATCTCGTAACCTAAAATTAACATCATTACACGATATCGATATGATAAAATAAATATAAAAATAACATAATTTAAAATTTTAATAAAAATTATATATAAATTTAATAAAGTTAAAAAATATATTATATATTTTTATATTAATATAAATTATGACATAATTTTTATATAAAATATAACATAAATATATAAATTTTAATATTTTATATAATATAAATACACAAATTTCGTCTTCCACACTCATTACCTGATAATCCTCCGAATGAGTTACACTATTTCAATTATTTCAAAATATTTTTTTTATCGATTGGAATTTGTTAGTCTTTCAATAAAATACATTAGTCTATGTCAAAATCGGCATCCCAACTTCAAGAATTTATGAGTCAATGTTGAATTAGAAACTCTAATATATGATATAATAATTTCATCATATAATATAAGGAACTCTGCTTATGAAACTCTATCCAAGTATTTTATTGAATTTATTAATGAGAAATTATTAAATATATTAATAGTAAAATTTTTTAATTTAACAAAAAAAATTAAAATGATAATATATATGATATATCTTAATATATATTTAAAAAATAAAAAAATAAATTTAAAAATGAAATAGAATGTAAGTCATCATTTTAATCTCACTAATGAAATTGAAAATTTGATGTATCAAATAATTTGATCTCCTTATCAATTATAATTATTTTATGCAATAAATTGATGACAAAGTTTAATTAATTAAATGAACTTCATTAATCTTTATTCTATTTTTGTTTATTTGACAAATTTTTTTAGCTAGCTTTTAATTATAGTGATTGAAAATATCCATTCATTTTTTATATGAGATATAATAAATAAAATTGGTGCTTTATTAAAATTTTATTCAAAATATCCCTTCATTTTTTATATGAGGTATAATAAATAAAATTGGTGCTTTTTTAAAATTTATTTATCTTTGCACCTTAATTGTTTGATTTATTTAAAACTAAAATATGCACAACACCAAAGAACTAAAATTTAGTTGATTGGATCTTTTTCAATTTCTTTTTATGATATTTGTATAATTATTTTTTAAAATTTTTTTCTTCTTTTTAATTCTTTGGATTTCAAGTACTATATACTCTATGTAATATACACTTTCTCTTACTTTTTACAATATATGTTAATC